TTATAATTATATTAATAAAATATTTATAATATAAAATATTGCTTGAAATATCTATTGAATTGATACCAAGAATTAAAGCTTCTTAATATTGTACATGTGCTTGTGGAAGATGAATTAATTGGCAGGATAATCATTTATAATCGATTATAATCGCTACAGATCGATAGACAATGGATAATTGATTATAATAAATAATCATTTATCATCGATTATTAATTATCGATGAAAATCGATTATTGATTGTAAATGATTACCCATTGTCTATTGATTTGTAGCGATTACAATCGATTATTTAAAATCAATGATCATCGATTATAGATGTTTACTGATTCTAAACAAAAAATCGATTATATTCGATTTTAATAATCATCGATTATATTTGATTGCAATCAATTATTAACAATTGATAATAATTGATTATTGGATAATAATCAATTATAATCAGATATAAAAATTTTCTGATGTATGCTAAAACTATTTAATATTTTCTATTATTAGTGATATTATTTATATTTGTTAATTTTTCAAATTTATCTAATCAATTAATTAAATTTTTGTGACTATTTCTACTAAAGATTGATAATAGTATAATAGATATTTTATACTGTTAGTTCTGTTATACTTGTATTATTTATATGAGAAAAATAAGAGTATTAACTAATTCTTATATTGCTTATTCTGTCATATTATTAAGTTTGTTGTTGTTGCTGATATTATTATAATTGTTTTAATCTGATTTATCTAATTTATACTTTTCTATTTTGATAATTTTTAAATTTAATTTATACTATTATCTTTATGATACAAAGTCTTAAATATCTTAATATAAATTTTAGTAAATTGAGAAAGTTTGAGTATTATCAGTATTAAAATTATAATATTCAAATATTATTACTATATATATTTTAATTTGTTATAGATTTTTAGTTAATATAATTTGATTAATTTTGAATATAATTAAAAATAATTGAAATTGTCATTCTATTTCTATATTTTTAGATTGGATAGAATTCAGATTTACTTTTTTAACTTTGTCTTCACAAAAAGAGCACCAAAAAAATTGGTATCATTTTGAATTTTTATATATGAAAATATTTTAAAATGATAATAATGACTGTATTCATAATAATTTACTTTGAATTATAATTGAATAGTATTTATAATAAGATAAAAATAATAAATTTAAATTTAAAACAAGACTAAATCAAAAGAAATTTTAACCAAAAATTATTTTTTAACTTTAAAAATAAATTAAACTAATATAACTAAACTTAAAATAAACTTAAAACTAATCAAAAAATTCAAAAAAACTTAAAATCAAACTAAGAGAACTTGAATTTATTAATTATCGATACTTATATTATATATATTTTCATGTTATAATGATATAATATAATATAATAATATAATAATATATAATATAATATAATTGTAATGCAATTTATAATATAATAAATTTATACTATTATTATAAAATTATTAATTATTTTTTAATTGCATGAAAAATTAATTATATTATAATTAATAATCTTGTTTTATATTAAAATATCAATAACAAAAATGAAAAATAGAATTAAACAAATATAAAAAAATAATAAATATACCAAGAAAATTATATGATTAATATTTTTATTTTAAAATAATAATAAAAATAAAAATAAATAAATAAAAATAAAATAAAAAATTTTTGTAATAACTTTACAATTAAAACAACTTTATCAAAAAAAATCAACTTATAGTTTTTATTTTGATATAAAAATAAAAAATTTTTATTATATTTTATTAATAAAATTGCATATATGATTTTATTATTCTGTTAGTTACTATATTTTATTTTACAAATAATAATTTATATTTAATATATATTTTTCAGATTTTTTATATTTAATCTGAGAAAGTTTTTTTAATTGCAAAATCAATTGATTAATTTTTATAATTAAAATATATAAAAAATTAAACAACCTATTTTGTAATTAGAAAAATTTCTCAGATTAAATATAAAAATCTGAAAAAAACATATTAAAACATAAAAATAAAAATCTTGATTAATAAATTGAAACTTTCATATAAATTATAAATAATATAGTTTTATTTGATAAATATTTGAATTAATTTGATTTTGTTATAATTAATTAATTATTAATACTAGAATTAATTTTATTATGACTAAAAGGATATTAAAATAATTTAAATATAATCTAATTATAATCAAATCTTTTTATAGTCATTATTCTTAGAAAAGCAAAATTGAATAAATATAACATAAAGAGAATTTTTTTATTATGTTTATATATAAATATAAAAGCAAAATAGGATAATTATATAGAAATATGACTATAAAAAAATGTGACTATAAGAGTGATTCAATTATAGTTCTAATTTCTAAAGATTCATTATTAATTATAATTATTCATGATTTCAAAATTATTTATCTAATTAAGAAGATTAAAAATAATTAATATAAAATCATTTTATAAAAGAATTTCAAAATTATTTATCTAATTAAGTTCTAAATAAGAAGGTTAGAAAACAAAATTATTATTATAAAATCATTATATAAAAGAATTTATTGCATCTTTCCAGAATTCAATAAAATTGGAAATGCTTATCGTTCAGATTGGTAAAATTAATGATCGTCATTAGAAATAAGTTTTTTTTTCATTTTTATAATATATAATAAACGACGACGACTAGCGTTCGTCTAAATGATAGAAACCTGGTTACAGTTACTTAAGAGCTAGAAACAACAACAACAATAATAATAAAATTGTGGTGAAATGAGCGCACAAAATTACTCTTTAGGAGGTGGCGTTGCAGGAATAGAAGAAGATAATTTCGAACTGATAGAGTCTTCTTCGCATTGGGAACGTTTCACTACTTTGGTTGAAGAGGTTTTGACCGGGTGGGGAGTTACTAACGGGAAACTTGGAAGCTTTGAAGAATTTGATCTGTACAATTCTCAAAAGAGTAATATTATTAATGATAATAATAATATTGAGCATGGAATAAAGTCTGTAGTGAAAAAATCAAACATTATACTTGACGAAAGCTCTTATACCTTGTATTATCATTATTACCATAATCCCATTGAGATTGAAAAAGCTTATGATTACCAACAACCAAATCTTGCACGAAATTCAAAATATGCAAGACAAACGTTCAGAAAATTGTTTCAAAAACACAATAACCATAACAATATCGATCACTATAATCCAGCATCGGAATTTCTTCCCATCCATTCTACTTATAATAGTAACAACAACAATAATAATGATACACGAACAAAATTCGATAAAATACACCGATGGACTGGTCTTACACACATTCTCGTATTAATTCCAATGACGAAATCAGATCCTACTGCTGGTTTCATGCCATCCACCACAACAATGGATCTTGGCACGACAAAAGAATTAATTTCTGCTTTTGAAAAAGCTTTTCGTAACACGCGATGTAATCTTCCCGTTTTTATTCCGACTGGTCAACTTGTTAATTCTTTATATCAAGGATATATGTGTTGCTGGATAAATGATCAAAATGATAAAGAGAAAGATGAGAAAAAAGACACAGATTATACGGAAATAAAAGATTTCAAAGTGGAATTACGATTCAACACTACTTTACAGCGTGATGTTCCCATTGGGTATTCACATTTGGCTGGATTAACTGAATTATTTGCGCAAAAAGCCAAAATTACTAATACTAATATCGGTAAGTGTTTAAATAAGATAAAAAAAACTTAGTTGTTTTTCTTCTTTCTATCATAATTATCATATGTATCTATAAATATGCATACAATATATACAATTGCTATATGCTTAAGTGTTTATGATGTGGTAGAAATTAACTAGATCTGATCCAGATATCGTTTCAATCGGGTTCGGTTAACAGATTCAAAAAATGATTCTATCGATAAACATAATAAAGAGAATGATGATGACGATTATTCAAGAGACGGAAGATTAAACATAACAGTTGCCGGATTATTTACGTATGAACTGCAAAATTGGGATGATGAAGATTGGAGAAGATTGGATGATGAAAATAGTGACTCGATTCGACCACCGAAAGGAGTGGACACGTCTTTCGAGGAAGATTTATTTCTTGATGAAACAGACAATATCAATGTATTTGTTGATGCTGGATCTACTATCAATGTCACCACCAATAACATAGCACCAATCACCTCTGCTGCTATTACGGCTTCCGCTAAAACTCCAACATCAAAATCTTCACCAGTTGAAATAGTGAATTCTCAAAAGTCATCAAGAAATGCTGACTTTCCAACGATTCACTGCCCAAGTTCTATCTCAAATTTACCCTTTGGACCATCCAAAGATCCACTGAAATCAATTATTTTGACAGCTTTTTTCCCTTCTGCTCCTCAAGACTTCTATCTTGATAATGACGTATTTAGTGAAATGGATGCTGGTGGTGCACCTGTTTGGATTATAAAGTGTAAATTCGCACTGGAGAATCCTCCTCAAGCTTTACTTTCGGGTATTTTGGAGAATTTAATTTCTTCATGGATTAGAGATCGATCATCATCAAATGGTAGTGGTTATACGAAAAATTCTAAATCTATTGAATCAAAAATTTCAAATGGTAACACTATCAACATTATAAGCAGCAGTAGTAGTAACAACAATAATATTAATAGCAATAATAGTTATAATAATTATTATACCAAAAAATCAAAAATTACTGGAAATCTAAGAACATTCGAATTACAAATGTTTGATACAATTCGGTCGCCGCGTGGTGGAGTTGCCATTGTAGACACTGGGGAGATTGATAATTTTGTACAAGCATTATTTGATCCTTCCCGATTTACAAAGAGTTCGTCATTATCATCTCCATTATCATACACTAGTCTGAAAACTTGTGATGGAATCAATATTGTCTCTACGATTGATCTTAGTCATAATATAAGAAATGTTTCATTTATCCCTTATAAATCATTATTGTGGAATTTACTTGAATATCTACTGGAAACTGTTTCGCCAGCATCAAATTTTCAGCATTGCTCGTCATTTATTGGATCTCTTAAAATATTATGGACCGAAGTATTAAAACACATTCGGACTTATTGGGAACGTGGAGATATTATACCAAATCTCATCAATAATAATAGTAATAATGATAATAGTAATCAGAATAATAATGACGAAGGAAATATTGGAATTGATATGCACTCTAATATTTTACATCAAAAACTTTGCATGATCAATTACTGCATAACGCGTCTACGAAAAATGCAAAAAGAAAATCCAAAGTTATCTAGTAGTCCAATTTCTAGTAGGACACGGGTTCCATCAACCAGTTCCGTTGCGTCGTCATATAATTCCATTAACAATACGATGAATAAAGGAGGGTTTGTGTCTATAGCCGAACAGAAACAAAAAAGTTTATCTTCGGATGGAAATAACGGAGTGATTATTGGTTCCCTTTCACTTTATGACGATGATTCTGTTTGTTCTAGTATTGATCCTTCAGCATCAGTTGTTTTGGTGGGACAAGGAAATTCAAATGGCGCAATTGAGCATTCAACGACAATTAACGTTTCTCCTAATATGGATAATGTAGGTCATCAATATTGTCATATTTGCTTTATTTGTAATTAATATTGTTGTAATTGATATTATTAATAATAAATACTGTTTGATAATTTGTTGTATATTATAGATGCAAACATCAAATGCTGATGTTGCGGAATCAGAAGACGAACCAATTTTAACTGATGCATCTGCATCCCCATTAGGTATTCCTCGTAACCCGAAAAATAATAATTCTTCCAGATCCAGATCCATTCCACATCGACGATCTCCCTCTTCTTTCTCCCTTGGTCAATCTTTTTCCCCTACTCCTTCTTTATTTTCTGATCAATCAGATCAAAATCCTCATGCCTCTTCATTGACCGAATCTTTCACTCAACTTAATTATCCATCGAGCATGGAATCTGTATCGGGAGTAGGAAATGGAGGAGTATTAGGATTAGAGCAAAAAGAAGGAGATGAGTATTTTGAAGTAAGGGAGGAAAATATGAGAGAAGGTTATTTGTGCGTGTTTAAGGAGTATACTTTACTTAAGACGGGAGAACCAATGTGGGCACCTATAACTCAGGTATTTATTTTATTTATCTTTCTATGCATATATATAAAATATGCACACACTAATTGTAAATATATGTGTAATCTAACGAATAGGATAATGGTTTGATGACTGAAGATATGATACGGGAGCAAGAAGAAATCTTTGAAAAAATGGGAACATCAGAGGAAGCAGCTAAAAAACGAGTTCAGATGCAATCTGCACATTTAAAGTCTGGCAAGTCATTATTTTGCAATGACAAAATTCAGATAGACTTATATACAAAATACATTAAACTTTTAATATTATCATAAAAAAGATATGGAAGCTTTTAAAGCTGCAAATCCACATGCAATATTCGAGGACTTTATACGATGGCATTCTCCGCGTGATTGGATTCCCGATGAAAGTGGTGATCTGAATTCACAACGAGGGAATCTGAGCCCTCGTATGGACAAGGAAGGAAATTTCTGGAGAGAATTGTGGAAGGTTAGTTTTGTTTATTGCTGACTATATATTATTAGCAAAAAATGAATTAATTTCTTTGGAGCGGATCATTTGATAGAGTTCTCGAAGGATTCCGGTTAGTCGGCAGAAACCCTTGTTTAATCATAGTCGAGAAGGAGAGAAGGTACTATTATAATAATGTTGAGAATTGTATGAATTTCATACACAATTTAGTATAGATTATTAATATTCAATTTTTTAGGCTTTACGATATCTCGAGCAATTATCCATGCAAGAATTGTTTAGCCAGTTAGTATATTTAAATTTATTCGTTTATTAATAATTATAATATATATTTTGCAAGTTTATTAACTTTTTTACTGTAAATAAAGGCTCTTACCCACAGTATTCCTTATAGCTTATGACACATTAGTAACACATCCAGTCACTAAATATATGAAACCGGTAGCTATGGGAGTATCCTTACTGTCAAAAGAATTAACGAGCTTCCGTTGGACGGATTTAAAGTAAATAAAATCATTCAATTAATTTATCTTGAGTGACTTTATTTATTCTAATGTGTTGATTATTAATTCATATCTAAAATAGAACTGAAAATGCATTTGAGAAAATTCTAGAAAGAATTCGTGAGAACGAATTGATAATGGGAAAAGCGATTTCTCTATTACGCAAGGTAAGTCATAACTTTGTATTTTGTGATAAGATATTGATTGTTGCAATAGTATTTTAATTAACAGCTTTTTTTTGCTCAGTTACCAAAGCAGTTCTATTTAGTAGAACGTATCTTAAAAAATTCAGAAACTACTGTAGCAGATGGAACAGAACGTGAAGCAGTTTACGAATTATTTGCTTCCGGAGGTAAGAGACATAAAATTTTTTTAACAACAAATAAGTAATAATAACTAATAATAATATTTATAACAGCACCACACAACAGTGCGTTTCCACTACCAACAACACGCGAATTCGTCTTACAAACAATGACGAAACCAGCAATTCTCCTTCCCAATATTTCAATACATATACCTTTGAGAATGTATGTGTTATTAAATGAAAACGGAATACGCATCATCGAAATGACTAGTAAACAAATAATAGATTAACCAAAGATATGAATAGACATTCTTATAAAAAAGTATTTTATTTTTTATAGTAATATATAATTATATAATTATCTTTGTTTAGATTATGTAACAGGTATTTTAAGCAAAAAATTCTTGTAAATTATTATTTTTAGAATACATTTTATTAAATATATTAGTTTATCCAAATGAATACAGGATAAAATTGTAATTTGTTTAATTAAATAAAAATATAAACGTGAGTATTTTATTAATGCTGGTTTTAAAATTTGAGTATTTATTATAACTGTATATACTTAGTTTCTTGAGTGATTCAAATCTTAATAAATTATAAATTATTAATAATTTTCAAGTTTGTTCCAACTTTTATTGTAACATGTTTTGAAATATTAATTATTAATAAAAATATAACTCAAGTAAAATCTGGTGGAAATAACAATCAGCCCAAATATGTAATTTTTGCTTCAAACACAATCACAATACAAATATCTATAGATGCAAAATCAACAAAGTCATATAATTCAAACAACTCAACAAGCTTTATGAAAACCAAGAAATAGATATTTGCAAATCCATTATCAAGACACCACTCAAATTCTATAAACAAGCATTACTATTATATAATAACCAAATTATTAAAAATTCACAAACTACAAAACAAAACATTCAAAAACAACAAAATTTAAATCAACTAATTCAAATTATCAATAACTCTCAACAATTAACACCTATTTAAATATCAAAAAAAGAAAATAATAATAGTAAAACAAATATTAACCAAAAAAATATTAATAAAGAACACAAAAATCTAATCATACAGCTTAAAAATGATTTAAATCAATTTAATTCATATATCAAAAAAATTGAATACAAACTAGATATCATTCTTGACCAAATCACTCTTTTAAAGAATTCATATACATTCAAACTTTTCTATAGTCACACTCATTTATAGTCATATCTCTCTATAGTCACTCTTTTTTGCTTTTTCATTTACATAGTAAAAAATTTTTTTATAATCACATTCTCTCTATAGTCATCAAATTTTGCTTTTCTGAAAGTGATGACTATAGAGAGATTTGGCTGTACTAGTTTAATGAATACTTCAATATATAACTTACACATCCAAAAATTCATTCAAATTTTTTCATCAATATTATAAACAACAAAGATTTACAAATCTTATAACTTTAACAAACTAATCGAAAACTTAAAAACAAAATCAATTCTTACTTAACGAACAAATCTTTCTTAACCAAAGAATACAAGACTTAGAAAATTTTATTCATAATGCAAGCACACTATTAACACAATAATTCTTTTATTTTTCAAGAAATTAATAATGAAATAGAATTACTTCCTTCACCAATATATATCTCTTTTATTCAAATATCTAATACTAAATACAATAAATTCTCATACTTTAATCAAACATTTATCAATTCAAATAAAATACTTATCACATCACAAATAACTCCATTTTATAAGAGAAACTACAGATATTATATAATATTACTAGGAGAGAGAAGGAATCAGAGATATCTTAAGTAACATAAAGCTTCAAACTAGAAATATATAATATATAATATATTTATTTCCTATTGGATAATATTCTAATAATCTCTGAATGATATAAATAATGACTTACAAAAATAATTTCATAGAATACTTAATATAAATCTTTATTTATATATAAATTATTTTGAAAAAAGATCAACAAAACTAATGAATCTTATTAGATTTTGCAAAAATAAATTTTATTTATTTAACTTTATTAATTTATTTATTGCAAAATTCTAATTATACATTTATATAAAATGTTTTATGCAATCTAGTATGTATTGCTTTAATCAAATCTTAGTGATTTCTTGAATGAGCAAAGTATCTGTAGTTTGTTAGAAAGATGCAAGTAAGAAAATACTTTTTGCATGTATTATATACAAGCTGTATGTATTACTTAGCATTAATTAAAGGATAATATTCATCATACTTCAATATTTTTGTTGAATCTAGATATTCATCAGGAAATTTCTATACCCGTTAGCAATTAATTTATAATCATATCCATTGGCAATTGATTATCAACACTCTCATCATTCACCATCAATAAAGATTATAATTGATTGTTAACGATGTTACGAATCAATATATTTTTTTATATCATTATCATTATTATTATTATTTATTTTATACTTTATTATTTTTACATAACAATATTTTTGACACATGTTGTAATGTTCAGCAACATGTTGTAATGTTTAGTAACATGTTGTAATGTTCAGTAACATGTGATAATGTTCTGCAACATGTTGTAATGAGATGTAACATGTTGTAATGAGATAAAAAGAACTGTAATATATATGATAAAATAATTAGCTATATAATGAAGAGTTTTATCTTTCAAATAAATCATCAATTGATCACTGCAAAAATCTAGCTAGTCAATAAACTGTTCCTTATTTATTGTTAATGAAATTTGTACATTAATTAATTGAATAATAACTTATTAAAATACTTGCATTTATCACGCACTATTGGACAAACTGCCAAGTTGCTATAGAATATCAGTATTGTATTGTTATAGAACTGTCCCACACTAAGTAGATAGAATATCTATTAGTAATAGTGAGAGTTTATCTAACGGATAGAAGAAAATGCACTGCGTGGCTATTCTGAAGTACACTGATTACGTCGAGATTGAGTAACCGTAAAATATTATCATTAGATATTGGTTGAATATCACAATGAATTTTCCAATATACTTTCTAAAAATAGTGTTCATTAACCATTGAAAAGTGACAGGATCATTTGTAAGACCAAATGGCATAACGTTGAATTCATAAAGATCTTGTTTAGTGAAGAATGTAATTTTATGACGATTTTCTGGCTTCATTTTAACTTGCCAAAATCTGGATGCTAAGTCAATAGTTGAAAAGTATTTTGTATTTTTAAATGAATCTGACAATTCATTGACACGTGGTAGTGGATATTGATCATGCTTTGTTACACTGTTAAGCTGACGGTAATTGACACATAGTCAAAACTTTCCATTTTTCTTTTTAACGATTATAACTGGAGCAGACCAAGGACTTTCGGATGGTGATATGATACCTTCTTTTAATATTTTATTGATTTCTTTCTCCAAAAAGTCATTTTCAAGTGATGATTTACAATAGTATGGCTTCAAAGTAATGGGACGTTCATTTTTCAAATGAATTTCATGTTGAGTAATGCTTGTTCGACCAGGTGAGATTAGATCAAATAAATCATTGTATTCATCAAGTAATTCTTGCATTTGTTTTTGTTGTTCTGGTGTAAGATTGCATTCAGTATTATTAAAATAAGAAAAATTTTCAATTGCTTTTGGTATTATTTTCAATTGGCGATAAATGTATTGTTCTTTTGAACAAATGTTGCATTGAATTTTAGTATTATGTGAACATTTATAATAATTTTGTAGCCATTCTTGTTGTATTCGTTGAATAGTAGTTTGATCAATAACTTCATTATTGATTATTATATTTGTTTTGTTAATTTTGATATTGAGTTCTGATATGATTTCATCGACGAGAAGTAGTGATTGTTCCAGTAATTCTTCTTCTTCATATTTGTCATCTTGAACATCAGTTTCAAATGGGACATCTTCTTCATAATTATCTTCAAGTTCTTTTTCATCTTCAATTATTAATATTGGTTGTGATTTTGATAGTGTATCTGAGCGGCGAGTTGTACAAGAGACCAAGGCACTATGACGTTCATTATTTATTACAAATGATAACTGTTGACCAGACCAATCTAAAATTGCTTCATGACTGAAAGCCCAAACATTTCCAAGCAGTAAGTTGTATTCTGCTTTTTCGAGTATGAGCGCATTAATAGTATGAGGTTGGTTTCCAATATTTATAGATAAATTTATGATTTCACCAAGTGATCTTTCTGGTGTTCTATTAATTCTGATTAAGTTGATATTTGATGATTTAGAAATTTTTTTGTTGATTTTCTTCAAGAAGTTAAATGATATGATGTTGCTAACTGATCCACTATCTATAATAA